ACGAAGTTTAAGATTGTAAAACTAATTAAATGAGCGTTAAGTATTCACTTTAAACAAACAAAGAATCAACAAAGTAGAGGCACAGTATCTATCTGAGCATCTGGGCATATACACAATGCTCTAAAGATTATATTGTATTTTCGCAATATCGAATCGAACCTTCTGTGATTTTCATCTTTTCATCAATAATTGCATATATATATATATATTGTGCCAAAGATATACAAATTTTAAATAAAGTACGAAATATCGAAAAACGAAACCAGAAACTAATCACAGCTGAAAATGCAGTAATATTTTTATTAATATACACGACGGTTTAAAACTAAACCAAAAAAGACTGTTTTTACCAATGGGAACATGGCAGCAGCTCTCAAAAATAGATATAAATTCTATAACTATTAATGATGAGGTCATCCCATTTGGTCAAACAGCATCTAATCCGGTTTCATAAATGATTCAAGTTTGTCAATGAAACAACACATTAAAAAGCTGTCAGCCGAATGCATGTTTCAAATCAGGAAAATCAATCAAGTTCGACGATCTCCGGACGTTACAGACGTTGGTTTATGCATTTGTGCACTCACGCGTCGATTATTGCAACAGTTTGTTTTATGACTTACCTGATCACTCCATGGAAGTATCACAATCAATACAGAATCGAGCGGCAAAAGCTGTTAGAGCTCTAAAATACGACCATGTGTCTACTATACTGAAAAACTTTATTGGCTAACTGTCGACAAAAGAGTGGTGTTCAAAATTTCAACACTTGTCTATAAGTCTATCAACGGTCTAGCTCCATCATATTTGTCTGACAGGCTCAAAAAAGATCTTCAAAAGCATCTGGAGCACATTTGAAATCTGATATTTCAAACCTGCTGTTGATCCCAACATAAGCTCTCGTAATATTGTTGTTTTTAGACCAACTGTTTGGAACAACCTGCCCGCTTCTCTTGAAAATTCGGACCTAAACCTGCGTGATTTTAAGAAGAAACTGAAAACTTATTTATTCTCATTATAATGCATTAATGATGAATTCTTTTTGTTCAGTTGACATGCTCTAAAAATTATATTGTATTTTCGCTTTATATCGCATCGATTACTTTTTCTGCTCATGACAAAATTTTTATTTTTGTTTCTGTACAATTCATTAAGATCTCTTATTTGTTGTTTTTTTTTTAGTTTTTTCAGTTCAGTTTTTGTAACATAGCACTTTTGAGATTCCTTTAATTAGCGCTTCATAAATATTTCAATAATAATAATTATGATAATAATATCATGTATAAATGCTAAAGTTTGTATAAGTGTTGTACAGGTACACCAAGGTTTTAATTTTGTTTATTTAATGATAACTGAAATTTTTTTTGGTCGCCCACTTATGGTGCACCATCTTGCGTTTAGCTAGGAACGGCCATAATCGGAGTCATCCAATTTGTTGTCTTTTATGAGATTATTATTTTCAGCAAAATTAAAGAGTTTAATGTTGTTTTCTAACTACTTAACCTTACTAATACAATCAACTGAGTACAGTTTTAACCTCGCTAGTGAAGCCATTAATGTTTTTCTTGAACACATCGGTACAGGTATTATTAATTTCCTTTTTGAAATTATTTGTTTATCCGTCGTGAAACGGCTCAGCACTGTATGAATTTATGCGTGAATGCATGCATATGCATGTAGGTATATATGTATATAGGCACGTATGTAATGTAATGTATTAAATGCGGTTCAGATACTTCCACGTGGGCTGTCTCCGGAAACTCCTTCACATCAAAACAAAATTGCGTATACAGAAGTTTAGGGATGAGCCATAACACACAGCATCTAATCTACGCCATGTATGTTTGATAATAGTCATGAGGAAGCTTTTGATCAATATGTATGTATGTAGGTATGCTTGACCGAAGTTAAACGCTGGAAGTCCTACAGTTCACTAAAGTTGAATCAGTGCAAAACCCAGTTGTTTTCGGTTGGTACTACTTAGCAGCAGCTGTCATAGCTAGATATTTACTCGGTTAAAGTAAACAACATTGATATAATGTTCAGCACAACTGCATCCAATTTGATATTTCAGTTGATTCTAATTTACAAATGAAAGAACACATAAAGAACGTATCGGTTGCTAGTATGGCTCATCTTAGAGGCTTGTACAGTCAGATGTTAAGACAGGACTAGAAGGTATGGAAACACTACACGCTCGGATTTGCTCAGGTATGTAAGTATGTATGCATGTAGGGATATATGTAAATATCATTTAATAAATAAAACCTACAATGTCAAAACAAAATAATAAATCAGACAGTTTTGAAATTATGAGTAGTGTGCCTTAAAAGAGTGTTTAGGACCAGTGTAATTTGTAACTAATGTAAATGATGTTTTTAAATTGTGTAATGAAAATAACGAAGTAGGTATTTATTTATATACTGATGATGCTAAGATTTATAAAAATGTGTGTTTGGGTAATTTTCTTCATGTTACCCGCTGTTGATGAAGGCAGACGCAAGAATCAGAGGACACTTATTTAAATTATTATCTACCCACACATGCTCCAAAAACATCTTATATGCCATACAAAAAATTTTGTTTTTTAGCAGGGTTGTTAAATACAAGAATGACTTGGATGAGGCTTTGTGGTGTATGATGAGAATGTTGACGTTTTTAAAACAAAATTGGATTGTTTTATGAAGGATGTGGATGCTAAGTATGCTTGGAAAACTTATATATAAGTGGTCTTTATGTTTAACATATATTATTACATGCATATGCATTACATTATATACTGCTTATATATCGTATTATCGTTTATATAATTTTCAATTAGTATTAATCGATTTTATTATATTTTGTAATTTTTTATCTATTCCAGTGGATGTAGTCCTGCTTGATTTTGCCAAGTCATTTGATACTGTTCCACACAAAAGATTATTAGCAAAATTAAATGCTTATGGAATAAATTAATTGGGCTATAAATGGATTGAATCGTTTATTAAAAACCGACGACAAAGAATTGTCTAAGGTGAAACTATTTCTGACTGGGCTGAAATTTTTAGCGGTGTTCCTCAGGGCTCTGTCCTCTACTCTTCATTCTCTACATCGATGACATACAAACTAATTTGAAAAATACAACCAAACTTTTTGCAGATGATACCAAAATCATGAGAGCAATATCATCAGATAACGATGTAGTCGAACTTCAATCATATTTGAATGAGGTATTTAAATGTACGCAAGACTGGCTTCTACGGTTCAATAATGAAAAATGCACTTTTATGCACTACGGATCAGGTAATAAAAAATGTCCACTGTAATAAATGGAATACTTTTTGCTGAATTGAAATCCAAGAGATTTTGGAGTGATTTTTTCAAATAACTTAAAATGGAAAAATCAACTCATCACAGCATCAAACAAAGCAAACCAAATGATTGGTCGAATACAAAAATCTTTTGGGAAGTTTGATTATAAGTTGCTTCGTAATTTATACCTAACTTTTATTGGTCCACTGTTGGGGTTTGCAGTATCAGTTTGGTCCCCAGATCTAAAGGGTGATAGCGAGGTAATCGAAAGAGTCAAGCACAGCAACAAAGTTGGTTCCGTTTATAAAAAACCTAGTTTACGAAGAACGTCTTAAAAATTATGATTAACAACTTTGGTGGAAAGAAGAAAAAGAGGAGATTTTATTCAGTTGTTTAAAATCATGCATAAATTAGACAAAGTTGATTTAAATAATTGTTTTAGCATAGTCAAAACCAAAACACGAAGTCACAATTTGAAATATTTTAAAGAGTTAACAAGACATAGAGGCAGAGAGAATTACTTATTCAATAGAGTCGCAAATACTTGGAACTCATTACCAAATGAACTTGTTGAGGCACAATCAATGAACAATTGTTGGATGAACAACAATCAATCAACGAATCAGCCGTGCTAGCATGCCTGACAGCACGGTCTCTGGATAACCTCCAGAACAGCATTACTGCCACTACTACTATCTTACTTTGTAGCTATTTTTTTATTTATTTTATTTTTTTCCCTTAATGTAAAGTTTACTAACATACTCAACTCATTTCGATGTGTTTTCATGTTCATTTTCGTTCTTAATGTAAATTTATTTATGACTATATATTCTAAGTATATGATTTTTTAGACTGTTCTTATTATTAAATAAAGTGGCTGATCTAAACAACTTTGACAGGGGGCCTAAATTTTTGAAAATGTTTAATCATTTCAAAAATATTTATAGGTTGATCGAGAAAGCTTTAACGTGTTCACAGGGGAAAAAATTAACGCTGACGACCTTTCTGTTCTTTTTTGATTCATCACTTAAATATTTATCGTCAAAAGCGCTACTTTTTCTAATGATAACATTGACTTTAACTGACTTAATACAAACGCTGCTCACAACGAGGAGGCCCCTAGACCCGCCACTAAATAAATGCATATCTGGGTGTTATAATCTTCAAGTAATTTTTTTTCCTTTCATCTCTGAGTGATTTTATCTATTTTTGTCAATGAATTTTTGTATGTATTTTAAACCCCTTATATTTTCGGGCATTTTTATTATTTCTTACCGCTCTTTAAATTCAAATGTATTCATTAGTCTCATATTATTCAGTTTAAATTGTTTTAAATGTAATTTTTAGCATGTTGTTTCATGATCATTCTATATGTATTCTTTCCCGTTTTTGTCACTTTTATAAACATTTTCTACAGGGAACATAGGAGCTTGAAGTTCGTATCTTTTATTCCTTTATGCTACATTAACCACTAGGCCACGACGCCGTCCGAAAATTGATAAAATGGACATTAAAATACATTTAAATTTAATAAACAAATTAAAATTAAATATTAAAATAAAAAATCAATCAATCAAATTGATTGCGTTCAGCGTCCATAGACCCAGTTCCCCGAGGTTGGACGTATTAAACTAAAAAATATTATTATATTATTATGCTGGAAGACCATAATTAATACAATAAATAAAATCTACAAAATTTTCAGGTTTTATATTTTAATAAAGTACTTCTTCACCATTACATTTTACTATTATATTTTAAATTTGAAATATAAGTTTGAAATACAATATCCATTGTTTCTTGTAAATGACACTTACTCATAGATTTCAGGAATATTTGAAACAGCAAAATGAATGCCTTGTGGCACTGTTTTCGAATACTTGATGTTTTCAACCAACCAAACAAACAACCAACCGACCAACCAACCAGCCAGCCAAACCAAAATGTGAAATTTTCATTTAAATATTTTGTCGAAATTACAAATAACTACTTCTTCAACAATTGTAAATACTGCTCAAGCAAATTTTGAACGGATTCTTGCATGACGAAGTTTACAAAGTTGTCAACGTCTTCTTCTTGATAACTCACCAACTTCTCCACAAATGGTTTTCGCAACATCTGCTTTGTCATGGCACGAGCTTGGCCTGTTAAAATTAATAAATTATTGTAAAATACAAGCCAATTATCACACGAGAAAAATTAATAAACGTCAAAACAAGAAAATTATAACACGTAACCTCACCAGAAAGTAATTTTAAAAATATAATAAGCTATTATAAACATTTAAAATCTCGGCCAGGCAATTATAGTAATTTTTAAATAACTGATGAGAAATAAAAGTTGAAACGTTTCTTATCGAAGTGCAGACAGAATTTTTAATCCATTTTGTAAACCAGACCCAATCGGACAAAATAATCAAGTTAGAAATACCATCGTGGCCAGACGAATGTGAGTTTTTTAATTTAGAAGCAATTTTTAACACTTCAAGCTCATTGGTTTCACAGAAAAAGATGGACGAACATGTGGAAGATGGCATAAAGCTAAGAAAATTTCAAGTTATGTATTTGAAACAGAAATTTATAATTTAATTCAAAAAATTATATTGCAAAATAATAATACAGTCATACCTCCTTATAACAAACTTTTATACAACGAAAATCTCTATATAACGAACTTTTTTATGTCCCTTGTTACATAACAAATTTTTTCTATAGAACGAAATAATTTTTCTATAACGAACAAAATTTTTGAAGGTTGGAAGAAATATCCAACCGGAAAACATTCTATGAATTGATATGAGCGGTGTTTTTGTACTCATTTCATTTCCGTAGACTGTATTTTTTGTTTCATGCTCTAGTACTGTATTAATTTTTGCGTATTCTACCTCAATTTTATTTTTTTGCATTATACTACGTATTAATTATTTTGTTATCAAAATAAACGATTAAGAGGTTTTTTCCATAAATATATAGCACATTAACAACTTTTAGGCAATATAACATTTTTTCTTGAACCAACTCTATATAATGAAATTTTTATATAACGAACTCATTTCCTGAAACCATCAAGTTTGTTGTACGGAGATCTGGCAGTACTACGAAAAAACAATTATTATTTCTGATTGAAAACTTAATTTTGAACGCATAAAACATGCAATACTTGGAACTCTGATCCATCTGAGGAGCTGCTTGACAGTGCGCTGCGACAGCTCATCACCGCTTACTACCTCGTCAACCAAACTCACCTGCTCCACGATAGTGATTGATCGGTTGTTTTATTGTTTGTTTGATGATTGTTGTATAGATAGCTTGATAGTTTGTTTCGAGTGTAATAATCAATGCAAATTATTAAATTTTCAGTGTTTTTAATTTTTTATTATTATTTGCAATACCTCCGATTAATATTACATTACCAATATTTCAATTATTAATAAATAAATTGTTTTAATTATTAGAAGATAGGTTTATTTAGATATCAAATGAAACGATTTTATTATTACGAAGTGTACTAATAAACAATAGCTCTAAATTCTTTTATGTTAAAATATGCTTAAATAAAATGAAACTTTGAACAAAAAGATCCTCAAAATTAAAAAATATTTGAAAACAAATCAAATCAAATAAAAAATTAAATTTAACTTAGAAAAAACTTCAACATTTAAGTTACAGAGCAATTATCCAAAATAAAATTGGTTGCTTTTACATATATGTATAAATATATATATATATTGCCCATTTAGCGTTTATTAATTTCTTAAAAAGACATTCAACAACACGTAACTGTTGCAATTCATATTTATTAAAACTTCCAATCATAATGTGGCTAACAACGTTGTTTCGACAAAGATGTCATCTTCAGTGACTCATCTAATTTATAGTTGTGCATTTGTCGAAACAACGTTGTTAACAACACTATAATTCAATCAATCTTCGTTTAGCGTCTAGAGACTCAGTTCCCCTAGGTAGGATGTTGATTTCTTTGCCATCAACTTTTGGCGCCAAATTAGACGATCAGTTGTATCCATTTCATTTAAATTTAGAGCTTTCATGTCTTGCTCGATTGTTTGCGACCAGGACTTCTTTGGACGGCCTTTGGGACGTGTGCCAGGTACTTCAACATCTGCAAGAGAAGTTATGGCACTGTTTCCACTTCGTTTGACATGAGCAAACCACCGCAGACGGTGTTGTCGGCATTCGTCCTTTATATCATCTAAACCAGCACGACGCAGGATTTCGCTAGATTTGATGTGGTCCTTCAGACTAATTCGTTGCATCAATCGGAGCATTTTCATGTCGGTTCGTTGAAGTTGTTGTTCCAGTTTGGTTGTCATTGGCCATGTTTCTGCACCATATAACAAGACCGGACATATCACAGATTTATAAAGTCTTGATCGTAGTGGTAGTGGGATGTCACGTCGCATCAATATAGAGGCAAGGAGATGCCATTTATTCCAGGCTGCACGTATGCGTGCTCGAACGGCAGCTTCAGCTGTTCCAGCACAATCCAGAACATCCCCTAGATAATGAAACGATGTGACTTTCTCTACCTTAATGGCTTCAAAAACAGTGCTATTTCGAATTTGTTGTTGTGGATTGATGCAAGCAGGACAAACAAAATTGGACACTTTAGATAAAATACCAATTATTTTTGAACTACGTTTATACATTTCCATCACAATGCGAACAAGATATTCTGGAATGAGTTGTCGACGTAGACTCAAGGTCTACAAAATGTGTGATAGTTGTTGATGCTTGGATTAACATTAGTTGTTGATGCTTGGATGCCTCACTATGAATAGATGTTTTAATAAAAATGAATTGGAACAGTTACGTGTTGTTGAATATCTTTTTAAGAAATTAATAAATGCTAAATGGGCAAAATCATTTAATTAAATTTGTTATAATGAAATCCTCGTATGGTCTCCTTCCAACTATAAACATAAAATTAAATAACTTTGAAACATATATATATATATATATATATATATATATATATATATATATAAACATAAAATTAAATAACTTTGAAACATTGAAAACGGACTACCGATATTTACAACTCCAATCTGGAACATGACAACTTTGGTGTGTGCATAACGTTATTGGTTGGACATTTGATTATTTTATAAACATTTTATAAGTTTATTAAAAATTTTTAGAAATCTGACAATAAATCAAAACATGCAGTTGTTTATTTATTTTAATAATACATAAAAGTTGGAAAATTGAGGACGGTTGGAAAGTTAATAAGAAGATGATCATAAGGAAGTTGCCTTACTTATTTTAAGTGAAGAAATTTGCCTTAAATTTAGTAAAACTTTAATTAGTTCAGTTACTGAAGATGCCATAAAATATATCAATAGCTCAGACGTAGAAGAGCCATGCCCTGTGATGTTATTGCGTGATGACCTGGTTCGAATAGATATATATTCCATCTTCTGCTGGTGTCCTTTATAAAGGGCAATTATTTAATTGTAAAAGATGAAATTAAAATTTATTAGTTCTGACTTTCCATAATTTGCATTTTCTGTTTGTTTCTTTCTTTTGTGTAAATATTTTTCCGGCTGCAATTGCAATTTTTGAAAAAAATCAGTTTCAATCCTAAACCTTGTGAAATTTTGGGAAAAATGTCTCAGCATAAAAAGTTTGTAAATTTTTTTATTTTATACATAGCTGAACTTGAAAAATTTAAATAAATTTTATAGAAAAATGTGTGCCAAACATGATGCGAATAAATTTTTTAAAAAATCCCTTGGAAGCCTGTTTTCTTTATAAAGGATGCTAGCAAGGTATGACACCGTGACAATATTTAAGTTAGCATGAAACAATGTATATTTTAGGTCGTGCCAGAAAAATTCTGAGAGGATTTATTCTTTGCAAGAGGTAATAACCGTGATAGAAGATGATGACACTGTCATGGAAGCTGATATCTTCATCAGTCCACCTTCCGACGGTATGAATTCTGATGATGATTTGTTAAATTATTGCATTTCTTGCTATTCTCCTTATATCAGGTTACAACCAGCTTCTAGCAAAGTCAAGCCATTATTTAATTTAGTCAATGATAGATTTACAGAGTTTTTCCCCATTGAAGAAAATCTAAGCGTTGATGAAAGTATGATTCCATACTATGGTCATCATGAGTTGAAACAATGCATTAGAAGCAAACCAATTAGATTTGGGTTCAAGCAATGGGTCATTGCAACCCCTTTAGGATATGCAGCCTATTTGGACCTTTACCAGGGTTCTAAATCTCAGTATGATAAGTTACTAGGTCTGGGATATTCCATAGTGACAAATCTAGTAGAGAAACTGCCGGCAAACATTTCTTACCATATTTTCATTGACAATTTTTTTACCGATCTGCCACTATTGGGGCTTATCCATTATCAAGTGTTAGTCAGCAAAAGGAAAGTAACACATTGTGCATAGATATAACGCTTCAATGGGAGGAGTTGATTGCATGGATCAAAATGTTGCCCAATAGAGAATTACAATTAGGAGTAAAAAATGGTGGTGGTCACTGTTTGCTTTTCTCCTGTATGCTGCTACGAACAATGCATGCTTGCTCTACCGAAAATGTCCAGCAAATGGGATTATTAGTCATGACTTGCTGTCCTTTATAAGAGAAGTTGTGAATACATATTTGAAGGAATATCAGATTGAAAAAAACGTTCTACCGAAAATGTCCTCAAAGTCAAGTAAAAAACGAAAAATTGATAATGATATACGAAGATCATCTAATGGCCATCATCTACAATCAATGCCTAAGCAAAGGAGATGTGGTCATTGTGACAAAAAGGCAAATTTGATTTGTTTGGCATGCAATATATCATTGCACATTGCATGTTCTCGAAATTTTCATCAATAATTTTTTTTTTAATTTTTTATTACTATGTTTTTATATTTTAAAATATATTTTCCATCTTTCGTATAAAACTTAGAGCTCTTTTTGTTTAATTACGTTTATAAAAGTTTAAGAAAACTACAAAAATTAATGTAACTGGAGTTGCATCTAATGGTATTATATTCTGCTGGTGTCCTTTATAAAGGACATTTTTAAAAAAACGTTTTAACGTTTTTAAAAAAATAAAATTTCAAAAAAATAAAAAACACGTGTCTACTTTTTCATCAGTAGCTATTACATATGTGAAAATAAAAAAAACCTCAGCAGATAATGGGATATATATTGTAATACTAGCACAAAGTTTAAGAATGATATGTAAGCAATTCTGTGTATGTTTAGCAGCCTAAACAAAATTTCAAAATACAAATTTTGTTGAAATCAACTAATTCTCCATATTCAGTTAGAAATAGTTTGTGTAAATGTTTTTGTTTTTTTTAACAGTCGAGGAAAGGTAGTATTGAGCAGGGTTCAAGTGATTTCTTATAATGATAGTGATGCATGATGAGCAAAGAATAAACTCGTATAACATTTAAAACCTGAAAGCATATTTGAATTTTTTTTCGATTTTAGAAGATCTAATGTTTTTAAGCTACATGAAAAACTATAAATTGAGTTGAAGAACCGATAACAAATAGCGTTCATTCAATAATGATGATCGACCTACAACGAAAAAACTAACTTGTAATGCTTCTTGTGGACCGAACATCGTTCCAATATGCAAAGCTTTTTCTGCTTGTCGGTGTCCAATAGTACTTCTAAACAATTCCATCAACCTGATTTATACAACATTGATAAGAGAGGAATTTGAAGTTTGTGAAAAGAAGTCTCACCAGAGTGGAGCAACAATTCCCTGAAATTGTTGATCAAACAAATACAAATAAAACATACAAATCATGCTCTTAATTAATATGTAAGTGACATCTATATATACTAACATATATTTCATATGAATCATTATTAACAGTAAATTTAATTATTTTTATTTTCTTTTTTTAGGGACAACTGAAAGCAACAATGTTTGCTAAACATGTTTAGGAAAAAACAAGTTTAAAAAATGCAAATACAATACATGTATAAAAAATTATTATAAACTTTTCTTGACTACTTTCATTTGGAGTTATTCAGCTACAGAGATATATTCCTGAATCATTGAAAACTTTACATTTTAACTTCATTCTGACTAACTTAATTTGCCTGTTTCACTTACAAATGCATTACTTTGTTTTATAGGCAGCACAAAAATTAACAAAACGACAAAAAAAACAATGACGTTACTAATTACAATCAAAGCTTCATTGAGACCAATCGTAAATGGTCCTGACGCCATGATCCTGTAGTCACATGAAAGTGCCATCAAACAACCTCCGGCAGGGCTGTGTCCCTTTAAAAATTACATTGTAAACAACACTTTCAAATTGTTAAAATTTTTTCATGGAAAATGTAAAAAAATATGTTAAAGCACTCAAAAACTCATTTTAGAAATCACAAAAATTAGCAATCTTGGAAAATTATATTTGAATGCATAATTAATGCATAAACTTCTTTGGATCAATATGCAACTTAACTAAATTAGGTTATTTCATCAAAAGATTTCCACCTTTTCAATATGGTCAAATAGTTAATTCCATTAATGAGACTATCTATGCCCAGAATTTAGTGTTCATTGAAGCTTTCTATTGAGCGGGGAAAACATGTCATATGACGTCAAAAAATTTCATACTTACCAGTTTTTAAAAAATAAGATATTTCTAATTATTTTCAACAAATGAAAATGAAATAGTGATATTGAATGATGCCAAAAAAATTATCTATTTATTCAATCATTTTGAAAGTAAAATTTAAGTTATTTATTTATTTTTAAATATTGATATAGTAAACTAAAAAATTATTTATTTCCATTAAGCCAAAAAATAATAATTCACAAAAACACAACAATTAACCTACAAAAATTTTACAATATGTACAAGTCATTTCAATTGAGAGTTGAATAAGCTCCATGCTCAGCAAGACAAAAACAACAAATAGAAATTTTTGCAAGCCCTGAAATACAACACAATGTCGGTTGACAGGAGAGGAAGCTAAAGGAGGCACTTCAAACATCCCCAAACCATAGCGCCATTTGAACAGCGTGCAAAGGAGCATATGTACTTTCTTCCATCAGAGATATAAGATATATATGATTGAACTAATTATTTGAAAGTCCAACTTACATTTATAGCCGCCATTGTAGTCACAGGAAGCATGTATAACTTCATCCAAAAATTTTGTACTAATCTCCAAAATGTTTGCAAACTGGTTACATCAGATTTGTACATTTCTTTAATATCTAATCCAGCAGAAAAAATTCCCTTTAAACCCTGAAATGATTATTTAGACGAAAAAATCAATTTGGGTTTGCAATCACAATGTTTACAAAAGCTGATAATTTTACGATTCTTTGGTGTACTTTCTAAAATGTTCTATTTTGTACTTTGTTTTTATTTGTACACTTCACTCCTTTTTGCACTTTTCTACATTAACTTGAATTAACAATTTTATTTGCAGATAATTTGAAGCCTAATTTTTACTTATTTTAACCCCTAATTTTTGATCAACTCAAACATGCAGTATTTGTGTTGAGGGCCCTGCTGCAACAGCCCATAAAACTATTAAATTATAAAAACTATCAAACTCAGAATCATTTTATTCAATCAAACAAAACAAAACAAAATTAAAAAACAAGGTAAAACTATGAAAGAAAGGCAAATAAAAAAATAATCAGACAGCTGAGGTTTGCATAATTGTTCATTCCTGTATAAAAACATTGCCCCTTGATTTGGACGCTCAAATCATTAAACCTAAATGACTATGAAACCATGCGGCTATGTTCATTATTAAGCCAAACTTAGAACTGAATAAGCTAATAAAGGAAACAGGAAAATATTAGATATTATATCAGAAAAATCATTTGAATATAAGAAAAATGGCACCATAGAATTCTATTGCAATCTAAATTTTAAAAAAAAAGTTGAAAGAAAATCTTACTGAAGTTATTACAAGGCCTTTCACAGAACTATTCTTTTCCAGAATGTTCAAAAGAGTTGTAAGATCAGTTAAAAATTCTGTGTTTAAACTGTTAACTGGTTTTCTTTTCAAAGTTAAAGTAGCTATCCCTAAATGTTATCATCAAATCCAAAGTAGAGTTCAAACGGATTTAATTATTTATTTAAAATGTAAATGTAATACAACTGATAGATATTGAACTTACTTCTGGGTTTAAATAATAGTTTAACGTTTTATTGCTAAATTCATGTTTACTTTAAGATTATCTATATTTAACTTACATGTGAAGCAATATTTCGAAATAATTGCTTAATAAATTTATTATACATGAGTAAAAACACCTAGTGTTCAAAAATTTTTTTATTCTAAACATGCAACACTTTTGCACAGGTTTGTAGATTTAATTGCCTGTTACAACTCTCAAAGATGCATTTTATAGATCAAGGCCTTTATATTTATGATATATATATATATATATATATATATATATATAATATATATATATATTCTATCTATATAAAAATGAATGTGCAGTGCAAATGTATATATGTTTGTTTATTTCTATATAGCTACAGACTCTCAAACCGATTCTAATAAAATTTTCATAGTTTATATTGATATAACATATAAAGAGAATGGTATCTATGGAACTTGGTTGAAATCCAGTCGCAGTTGTTGTTTTCAATTACGCAAATTATGAAGATGACGTCATTGCACGGTTTTTCACACACACACACACACACACACACACACACACACACACACACACACACACTCAACACACATATATGTGCCTTGCTTTGGAAATCTTGTAGTAGCAAAGTGATTTTGCTCAAACCCTTTTGGCATCTTTTTTTAAATGTTAGATTCAGGACAATTGAGTATTAATATTGTTTATTGATGTACCTAATTTTAATACATGGGACACTAAGCCATTAATATTAGTTTTTTAATTGCAGCACCTAAAATCCTACATTAGTGAATAATTAAATTGAAAAAGTATCAATAGTCTTAGCGACTTGTGTTATACTGTTTTAATGAATATATTTATATGTATATATGTCATTATAACTACAAAGATAATCATAGAATAAAACATATAGGCCATTGTGTTATAAAAAATATCTTTAATAGTTGTAGGGGCAATTAGCAAGAGATGTTAGGAAGTAACTAGCATATTTATTTTATGTTCCATTAAATTAAAAAACTATCATAATTCATCATTGATATACCACTCCTTATAATATGCCTAAAGCCCTAAACTAAAGGCATTTATAAAAGTTTTAATGGTAGTTAACATATTATATTTATAATATATTAATAAATTATGCACCATTGATTAATTATTAGAGATATATATTATATAGGTATAGAATATTCATAATTGACTATACACAGCCCTATAGTAATGTTGGGTAAAACGTGAGATAGGTACTCCCATGGTATTGTCCATGTTTACAGACAATCATAATGAACTTTTAATAAATTAACTCCACACATTGTGAATTATCTAGCGCTTAATTATTTATTTATATCAAATTGAAAATAATTTAATTTTAATACAAGTTAATTCTTAGGTAAGTTTTTTAGATCATTACTTGTCAAATATCAAAACAGAAA